TTCCGCACCGGGGGCCTGCACGACCACAACAACGAGAACGACTGCCTGGGTCCCAACGGAGGGAGCAGCCCGGGGGGCAGCACCGGCGGCCTGGAGAGCCGTCTGCAGCAGGTGTGGGGGCTGCAGGGGGGGCAGCGCAAGCCTCTGACCAGCAGCTACCGGCAGAACTTCTCAGATGCTCTGGTGGGAGGGGGGCCTGGAGGAGAGGGAGGGGGCATCTACAACAAGAGCAACTTCTCTAACTCTGGAGAGAAACCCTGCTCATACTTTGGATCTGAGGGGACGCAGGGCTGGGGGGACCCCGACTACCCCAAGCAGATGTCCTTCTACACCCAGCAGAGGTCCAAAAGCTTCGGGGGCCTTCCTCTGCCCCTGACCAGACTGTCCCCCGGTCTGCCGGAGCCCCCCAACAGCTCCGTCACCAGCATGGTCTCCGGCTCGCCTCACGCTCAGGCCCGCCGCGCCCACAGCGAGCCCGCCTCGGCCGGGGACGGCTTCCCGGGGCGCCTGCCGGTGCCGGACTCTCCGCCGGCCGGCGTGCGGGACTGCATGACCTGCTTTGAGAGCAAGGTGACGGCCGCCCTGGTCCCCTGCGGACACAACCTGTTCTGCATGGAGTGCGCCATCCGGATCTGTGAGCTGAACCACCCGGAGTGCCCGGTGTGCCACACCCAGGTGACTCAGGCCATCCGGATATTCTCCTAAGAGCCGTGCCATCTTTGTTCTGGTTCCTTCAACAATTATTTACTGTTTTATGATTATTATTATTATTATTATTATTGACATTAGAGACATTTTGGTTGAGAAAACTTAAACAACAATCAAGCAGATATTTTAGGAGACCTGCTTGCTTTACTAAAAAGTCTAAGAAATATTTTTCCGTTTTTCTTTTTTATATATATAAGCATATATATTTTATAAAGCTTTGGTTTATAAGAGACGTATAGTTCCTGCATTTTCAGTTTTTTGACTGCTGCTGTTTTTCATGCGTTGGATGACGGCGGAGCAGAGCTAGACGCTAACCTGAACATTTAGTCTTTAGTTTATTGAAGGAACCGATGATTGTGGAAGAACCCATCAGCACTTGACCGACCCAGAGAGGAAACTTATTGCACCTTACAATCATCTCGCTGTAAAACAGGATCGTCCACTTTTCCAGTCATCCTGGGGCCCACTGGGACAGACTGGGACAGACTGGGGCTGACTGGGACAGACTGGGGCCGACTGGGACAGACTGGTCCGCAGGGTTCTGGGTTCCAGTCTGGATCAAACTCTCTTTATTTCGTTAGAAAACAGATGTAGGATTGAATTATTTATAGAAATGGATTAAATGTTATGGATTTTATTCAGAGCTTTGGGGGGCTCCTTTGCTGCTTGTGGCCCCTCAAAGAACTCAGTAAATCTTCGGGGCCAGAAGCTGTTTTCCGTTATTCTCCAGAACCGGTTCGGAAGCCCAGACGGTTCTGGGTTCTGGTCTTGTGTCGTTTGGCCGACAAACAAAGCCCCCCCACCCCACCCCCATGAGGGGACAGGGTCTGAATGAACCAGCTGCAGATTAAAAGAGGTGATACTGTAAGGGGGGCCCCCAGGGGCCACGTATCTCCCTGTAATTGGCTACAGCAGGTGTTTCTGTGCAATACCGGCCCAAAGCCCCCCCCCCCCCCGTTGGCTTTGGGCCGGTATTGTCTGGGCTTGGTGCGGCCCGGAACCGTCCATTGATAATTAGGGAAATGTGCTGCGGGGGGTGGGGGGGGGGGGGGGGGGGGGTGGGTGCAGCTGGGCAAATACAGGGGGGTGGGGGTGGGGGGGTCAGACCCAGTTTGGCAGCCATGAAATAAAATCAGGGTTCAGGAGAACCTTGTGGCCCCCCCATCCCTGAACCCTTGCATTTCTAGGCCGTGCGGTTCTAGGTCGTGCGGTTCTAGGCTGTGCGGTTCTGGCCGTGCATTTCTAGGCTGTGCGGTTCTGGGCCGTGCGGTTCTAGGTCGTGCGGTTCTGGCCGTGCATTTCTAGGCCGTGCGGTTCTAGGCCGTGCATTTCTAGGCCGTGCGGTTCTAGGCTGTGTGGTTCTGGGCCGTGCGGTTCTAGGCTGTGTGGTTCTGGGCCGTGCGGTTCTAGGCTGTGTGGTTCTGGGCCGTGCGGTTCTGTTGGAGTTCTGTCTCCGTTCCACTGAACAGAACCGTTGGGGAACCTTCCAGAAATGGACCCGCTGACGTTCAGAACCTCCTTTCTTTTCTTAATCAGTTGCATCACAAGCAGCAACTCGGGTCTTTTCTACAGAACCGCGACCCGACGGCAGCTTTGAATAGAGGAGGACCAGAACCGCAAGGGGGGGGGGGGCTGAAGGAATAAAGCACCTTATTATCAAACAGGAGCAAATGGCGCTGATGGTGAAATGATCCGGAGTCCAGGTTCTGGTTCTGGTGAGGATCGGCGGGGCCAGGTCCAGTTGTGTTCTGGTTTCTCAGAGATGTTCACGTGTAAATAAGGAGGTTCTGGTTCTGAGTCACCGTTGATGTTTTAGTATAAATGAATCCCCCCCCCTCACTATAATCAGAACCGACGGATCCCATCCCGGCAGAACCGACCCGGTCGAATACATCAGGATGGGGAGCAATTCTATTCAGTTAATTTCTATAGCTCCAATTCCCATTAGGTCATCTCAGGTCACTGTATAGATCCAGATTAACTAGATCATCCATTGGTTTAAGGTTTTCTATCCGGGGTAAAGTAATATCTGGAGCTCTTTGATAAGGTTCTGACCTGTGTTATCAGCAGAACCCCCTCGGATGGACGGGGTCGGATGGACTGGGATCAGCTCCGTGGTTCTGGTTCCGTCCATGTGGATCTATTTTCTCTTTGCTTTGAAGGAAACGGTCAGATAGAACCAAAGAAGAACCCGTTCAGAACCAGAATCTGCTCTTTGGACTTTAACTGAAATATCTGACCCACTTTCGGATCGGACCGCAGCAGGATGAAGCGGTTCTGTGACCCGTCAGAACCGGTTCTGGGAGGTGAAAGCTTTAAGCGGTTTCCATGTCCTCCTCTTTCAGCGGTTCCTCTAAGCTGCAACGCGTTGAATGTAGAAATTAAAATGTTTTCATTTCCTCCTTAAACTGAGCTTTAAGTTGATCGTTTGGACTTAGTCTATATTTGAGTTCTTCCACATGCATTTATAGAAAGTTAAAAATGAATAAAAAAATCCTATGACAGTTTTTAGATCTATTTTGCTAACATGGGTTATTATTTCAGAGCAGAGGAAAAGTCAGTATCTGGATGTTATTTATGAAAAATGAAGCAACATATTTATGAATAACCTGGAGACATTTTGTTTTTTAATTCAAATGAGGAGAATTTAATATATTTCTAAACACGGAGTGGCTTTCTACTAACGAAAAGGAAAACAGAAGTTTTATTTATCAGAGTTATGGCCACTTTTCCCACTTTCTACTCCAGCAGCTACAGAAAATATCTGAATATTTTTAGAAATTGGAGATATTTTAGCCAGAGCAGCGATTTTGTGCCTCAACTGTATTTTTTATTGCCCCGCCCCCCACCCCCCCGTTACTGACTGAATCATCCCTCATTTCCTCTGTAATCTAAACCCGCTTTTTCTGATCAAAGAGTAAAAAGCTCTGAGTGAACGAGGCAGCTGTGACCCTCTGTGGCCCCCGGCCCCCCAGGGGCCCCTTTCATTCACACATTTCCTCAGTCTGATCGATCCATAGCAGCAGAACCGGGTCGGCCTTTCTGATCCGCTCCTCCTGGTGCGTCGATTGGGTGGAGAGCGGTGCACTGTAGATCTATGTAACTAGATGCAAACACACACACGCACACAGCAGATTCATTACCGTAGTAGATTGCATGTATATTGTATGGTCTGTTAGACAGGAGCGGCGTGCAGGCGGCTGCAGACGGCGGCGCCTGGACTCCTCCTCCGCTGTAGATTTTCATAGCTGGTCTCTTTAGAGAAGGTGAGGCGGTTTGGACCCTCAGACTGGGTCAGAACCCCCTCCCCCATTTCAAAGGTGGGGGCTGACCCGGCGCTGCCGGCCGCTACGCCTCCTCCAGAGAGACCGACGCAGTCCGACAGTTTGTCCTGGGTAGCGTTTCCACTTTTCCAGCACAGTAGAGTGTTTCATGCCGGTCTAATAGTGATAGTAGTGCATTAGTTTGGGTCGGCAGCAGCCGGCCGTAGTTTCTGGTTTCTCTGTGAACAGTGAGGGAGGGTCAGCGCTGCGGCGGCGGCGGACGGGAAGGAAGAGCTTCTGTTACAGTGTGCCGTGCCCTCGCCGGGCAGCAGATACTGCAGGTTTATTTCTAGAGCACATGTTTTTTTGTGGATGACATTTTTATTCTGATGATTATCGTATCTGCGCCATGTTAGTTCTGGTTCTGTTATTTTTCCAGATTTCAAATGTATTGTAAATGTTTCTAATAAAAGGAAATGATCCAGCTGAAACAGACTGAGCTTTATTCCCTCCATAGATGTTAATATTTCAGAAGATCGCTTCCTGCCTCTAACTGGGAGAACTGGAAACACCAAAGATAATTTCTACCAAATCTGTTTTATTTCTCCATGTGGGTCCAAATATACAAAGAGCCAAAATAAAAAGGTCTTCCCCCACCCCACCCCAAACAGGAAGTAGAGACTAGAGAAAGCAGGGCCGACCTGAGGGGCCCATTAGGCCCAGTTCTCTTCCAGTTGCAGCCAACAGAGAGGAAGAGGAGGAGGAAGAGTTCCTGGAAAACAAGCTGGGATGAAGAAGAGCTGGTCTCCCTGCATCATCATCACCACCATAGTGTTTACAGCAGCCAGAGGTTTGGGTCAAAGGTCAAGCTTCTTCCTGCCAACATGCATGCCCCCGCCCCCCATCCCAACATGAAGGTTTGGAGACAAAGGGCTGAAGGGGGTGGGGGGGGATTGCTGAGCGAGTCCAGATGGAGCAGAAGCATCTGAACTCCGTCGTTTCATTTATGAACGATTCATAGAAAAGAAATAAAGAATGAAAAGAACATTTTTTGTTTTTAGTGTAGAAACAGGAAGTTAATAAATACAGAGAAGGAGAAGATGGAGGAGCCGCTGCAGCAGAAGGAAGAGTCCATTAGCATGGTGGACATCACAGCCTCTTCATGACCCGTCATTAAGGCCCTCACTGATCCTGGCCATCTTCATCACTGCTGCTCCTCCTCCTCCTCCTCAGCCCCCAACAGGACAAACCCTCCGCCCCGGTCTGTCCGTTTGTCCGCTGAGATGAAGGAGGACGTCAGCGGCGGGTCTCAGTTGTTCTGGCAGCAGGCGCCCTTACTGGACGAGCTCTGGGTGGGCTCCACTGTGATGGGAACCACGTTGGAGGCCGGCGAGAAGTCCGAGCTTCCCTGTCCAGACATCTGCCTCTGGGAGACGATGTTGTAGATGGCTGTGAGGGAGAGAGAGAGAGAGAGGTGAGTGACCAGCAGGGGGCAGAAACACACTGGCGTCCACTAGAGGGCGCCGCTATTAGTCCTAAACTGGAGACTGGCTGGCATTAGCCTTAGCAGAACCATGAACGGATCCAGAACTTTCTGTGGTTCTGAGAAATCCCTTCGATTGTCCTGAATCAGCTGCATGGAGGAGCAGCAGAACATCTCTGACTAGAAGGAAACGAATACAGAAAATTGGAAGCTAGCAGTTAGCATGGTTAGCTCAGAGGAACCAGAACTGTCTAATCAGCACCAGCACTGACTGCAGAGAGCTACCTTACTGTTAGCCTCCGCTTCATTGGCTGACAGTATGTCAGAGCGACGTACCCTGTCTATTAACCATAGCTCTACATCTCTATTCAATCTATTTATTACTTCTAAATATGTTTAACGATTTATCAAAAACATGTTTTTGATCATTCAGGCAGTATTAGCGGCGTGCAGATCGATTGGACGATTCCCATCGAAGTTTGTGATCTCTGATCAGTCTGTTGTTACCAATCGTCTGTATCTTCTACATCTGCAGCAGATCTATGAGCCATTTTCTGTGACCTGAGTGTGCAGGGAGAGAGATGTGATGTGCTTAAACTCACACACAGATCATGTCTGCTTGGTGCTCAGCTCAGCCTTCCTCCATATGCTGCACATCGTTAGAGAGCTAACTGGGCGCTCAGACGGCTAACTGCATGCTCAGACGGCTAACTTGGCGCTCAGACTGGTAACTGGGCGCTCAGACGGGTAACTGGGCGCTCAGACGGGTAACTGCATGCTCAGACAGCTAACTGCATGCTCAGACGGCTAACTGCATGCTCAGACGGCTAACTGCATGCTCAGACGGCTAACTGCATGCTCAGACGGCTAACTGCATGCTCAGACAGCTAACTGCATGCTCAGACGGCTAACTGCATGCTCAGACGGGTAACTGCATGCTCAGACAGCTAACTGCATGCTCAGACGGCTAACTGCATGCTCAGACGGCTAACTGCATGCTCAGACAGCTAACTGCATGCTCAGACGGGTAACTGCATGCTCAGACAGCTAACTGCATGCTCAGACAGCTAACTGCATGCTCAGACGGGTAACTGCATGCTCAGACAGCTAACTGCATGCTCAGATGGCTAGCTGGGCCTCAGACGGCTAACTGCGCGCTCAGACGGCTAACTGCGCGCTCAGACGGCTAACTGCGCGCTCAGACGTCTAACTGGGCGCTCAGACGGCTAACTGGGCGCTCAGACGGATAACTGGGCGCTCCGACGGCTAACTGGGCGCTCCGACGGCTAACTGGGCGCTCAGACGGCTAACTGGGCGCTCCGACGGCTACCTGGGCGCTCAGACGGCAAACTGGGCGCTCAGACGGCTAACTGGGCGCTCAGACGGCTAACTGGGCGCTCTGGGGGCTGGGCCATCTGGGGGCAGCGGTCCTGATCGGACCATCCTTGTCAGTATCAGTACAGGTGGAACAATACATCATCAAAATATACTGATCGACTATTTTTTCTATTTAGCGTACTGTAAAAATATTTATCCTCTCGGGGCGACAGTAGCTTCAGATGTAGGAGTTTGCCCTGAAATCAAAGGGTTGACGGTTCAAACCCAGGCTCCAACTTTCAGCGTCATTGTGCAAGACACTTTACCAGCATTGTCTACTGATGGTGGTCAGAGGGCCCGGTGGCCCCAGTGTGTGGGAGCCTCGCTTCTTACAGTGAGCCCCAGGACAGCTGTGGCTACAATGTAGCTCACCACCATTAGTGTGTGTGTGAATGGGTGAATGACTGTAGTGTAAAGCGCTTTGGTCAAGTCTCCTGACAGAGATCCAACCTTCAGTACAACGCTGCAGCTGATTGGGTGCCTGCCTCCCTGATGGAGTTTTCAGCCAATCACAGCAGCAGGAGCAGCTGAGATGCTAACTGATAAATTAAAACTACAGAATCTGGTCGGGAGCAATAAGAAAACATCTCCCAATCCACAAAGGAACAAACCAGTAGAATAAAGGCCATTCCTCCTAAAACCAGAGCAGCCATGTTTGTTTTGCTTTATCTTCTGGTTGACGCCATAAATGTTGCTGCATTTCATTGGTCTAAAACATTTCCGTATCGAGAGGAACAGATCCTCTCACTTCTGGAAAGATGTCTCTTTGTTGGGTTCATGAATTTACAAATGTGGAGCAGAGATCCACAGCTCTCCACAAACCAGACTTTATTAGAACTCAGCCAGAAGGTCTTTGGCAGAGAATCACGGTGGAGACTGGAGCATGCCGAGGGAAGAAGGGAGCTGATCAAGAACATCTTCAGCTTCCAGCAGGAGGTCCAACCTGAGCTACCATGAGAAGGTTCCAATGTTAGCTATAGGTTGGATGGTCAGTCAAAGTCTGGCCCTAAATGTTATCTAGGGTCAGAGGTTAAACACAAACAATATTCAACCTGATCTCAGCCCCGTAGATCCAAAGCGCTGAGATCAGGTCACCCGGTAAGGACTGCAAAAACGATTCCGGTCTTTGGAAACCATCAACCATCACTCCTGATTATCACACAAGTTAAAAACCTTCAGCTGATCCAAAATGCTGCAGCCAGAGTTCTGATGGAAATGAAAAAGAGAGATCATATCTCTCCTATCCTGGCTTCTCTTCATTGGCTTCCTGTTAAATCAAGAATAGAATTTAAAATCCTCCTTCTCACATATAAAGCCTTAAATGGCCAAGCTCCATCTTATATCAGAGATCTGATTGTTCCTTATGTTCCTAACAGAGCACTTCGCTCTCAATCTGCAGGTTTACTAGTGGTTCCTAGAATTTCTAAAAGTAGAATGGGAGGCAGATCTTTTAGTTCTCAGGCTCCTCTCCTGTGGAACCAACTACCAGTTTTAGTCCGTGAGGCAGACACCCTGTCTACTTTTAAGGCTAGGCTTAAAACTTTCCTTTTTGATAAAGCTTCTAGTTAGAGTGGCTCAGGTTATCCTGATCTATCTCTATAGTTCTGCTGCTATAGGCTTAGACTGCTGGAGGACATAGGGACCCCTTTTTCATCATTCTGCTTCATTCTATCTCTACAGGTGCTGGTCATAAAATTAGAATATCATGAAAAAGTAGATTGATTTCAGTAATTCCATTTAAAAAGTGAAACTTGTATATTATATTCATACATTACATACAAACTCATATATTTCAGATGTTTATTTTGTTTAATTTTGATGATTACAAATGACAACAAATGAAAATCTCAAATTCATCATATCAGAAAATTAGAATATTGTGAAAAGGTTCAAAATTGATGGCCCCTGGTGCCACACTCTAATCAGCTAATTAACTCAAACCACCTGCAAAAGCCTTTAAATGGTCTTTCAGTCTAGTTCTATAGGCTACACAATCATGGGGAAGACTGCTGACTTGACAGTTGTCCAAAAGACGACCATCGACACCTTGCACAAGGAGGGCAAGACACAAAAGGTCATCGCTAAAGAGGCTGGCTGTTCACAGAGCTCAGTGTCCAAGCACATTAATAGAGAGGCGAAGGGAAGGAAAAGATGTGGTCGAAAAAAGTGTACAAGCAAGAGAGATAACCGCACCCTGGAGAGGATTGTGAAACAAAACCCATTCAAAAATGTGGGGGAGATTCACAAAGAGTGGACTGCAGCTGGAGTGAGTGCTTCAAGAACCACCACACACAGACGTATGAAAGACATGGGTTTCTGCTGTCGCATTCCTTGTGTCAAGCCACTCTTGAACCACAGACAGCGTCAGAAGCGTCTTGCCTGGGCTAAAGAGAAACAGGACTGGACTGCTGGTGAGTGGTCCAAAGTCATGTTCTCTGATGAAAGTAAATTTTGCATTTCCTTTGGAAATCAAGGTCCCAGAGTCTGGAGGAAAAGAAGAGAGGCACTTCATCCACGTTGCTTGAAGTCCAGTGTAAAGTTTCCACAGTCAGTGATGGTTTGGGGTGCCATGTCATCTGCTGGTGTTGGTCCATTGTGTTTTCTGAGGTCCAGGGTCAACGCAGCCACATACCAGGAAGTTTTAGAGCACTTCATGCTTCCTGCAGCTGACCAACTTTTTGGAGATGCAGATTTCATTTTCCAACAGGACTTGGCACCTGCACACAGTGCCAAAGCTACCAGTACCTGGTTGAAGGACCATGGTATCCCTGTTCTTAATTGGCCAGCAAACTCTCCTGACCTTAACCCCATAGAAAATCTATGGGGTATTGTGAAGAAGAAGATGCAATACACCAGACCCAACAATTCAGAAGAGCTAAAAGCCACTATTAGAGCAACCTGGGCTATCATAACACCTGAGCAGTGCCACAGACTGATCGACTCCATGCCACGCCGCATTGCTGCAGTAATACAGGCCAAAGGAGGCCCAACTAAATACTGAGTGCTGTACATGCTCATACTTTTCATGTTCATACTTTTCAGTTGGCCAACATTTCTATAAATCCTTTGTTTTTATTGGTCTTCAGTAATATTCTAATTTTCTGATATGATGAATTTGAGATTTTCATTTGTTGTCATTTGTAATCATCAAAATTAAACAAAATAAACATCTGAAATATATGAGTTTGTATGTAATGTATGAATATAATATACAAGTTTCACTTTTTAAATGGAATTACTGAAATCAATCTACTTTTTCATGATATTCTAATTTTATGACCAGCACCTGTATTCTCCCACTCTGCAGAATCTGTTAGTTCAATCTCTAACGTTCTGCTCTCTCTGCTTTTTCTCATAGTAGCTTCATCTGGTCTGTTCCTGTTTGGCTGTGACTCCATCCTGGAGAGAAATATCAGCTGTGCTGCTGCCATCAACACCTTTGTTTCTAGATGTTGGAGCTTGGCCTGTTTTCCAGTGTAGTCCTGTTTCTCTGACTGTGACTAACTGGATGTGCTCTCTTCATCCTCTGACATGGGAGCTGGCTTGGAGCTCGTCTGCCTGGCTGTGTGTTTCCTGGACGGGGCCGCCTGTGGAGCTGGTTGACAGTTGCCTTTTGTATCTATGCTTCTTTTTCTATGTCTGCTTCTGTCTCCTTGAACCCCAGTGGGCCTCAGCAGATGGCCGCTCACACTGAGCCTGGTTCTGCTGGAGGTTTCTTCCAGTTCAAAGGGAGTTTTTCCTCTCCACTGTCGCTACAAGCATGCTTAGTGTGAGGGATTGCTGAAGAGTCAATGAGTCGATGCAATCAGCTGGTTTTCCTTAGATAGAAAACTTTGAATCAATCTGACTGGATGATCTGGTTGATCTGGATCTATAAAGTGACCTGAGATGACATGATGTGAATTGGCGCCATAGAAATAAAGTGAATTAAAATAAAACTGAAAATTACCCGGTTCGATTCCTACAGACTGCCACTCTGGGTCCCTGAGCAAGACCCTGAACCCCACACTGCTCCTCGGGGGCCGCACAATGGCAGCCCACTGCTCTCCAAGGGTATGAGTAAATGCAGAGAGGGAATTTCTCCAAAGTGAGATCAATAAAATTCAGTTATTATTATTATTATTTTATTATTATCCCTCTAGGTAGGAAGTTTTCTATAGAATTAGACAAACCAGATCAGGCTGTGGTGGGAGCAATGCTTCTCCAGCTCCGGGTCCGACATAGAGCGCCACCTGTAGGCAGAGTTAAGCCCCAGATGTTCCTGTGGATTTCTCCTCCTTACTGGGATCACATCACTATCTAGACATGAACGATCTGGAACTTTCTGAGGAACATTGGAAGAACGTGGATGATGTGCTAAAACTACTGGTGCTCTGATTGGCTGAAAGATCTCACTTCTGCAGCAGGATGATGGAGCTGATGGGGTGGAGTTTGCTGCCACCTAGTGGCCACATTCATAACCTGCATCTACATGATTAGTCTAGCTGCCCTATGGAGGCCTGGCAGTGGTTGGTAGTTGAAATTCACTCACCTGTGAGAATAGTCTGAAAGGCCAGCTCAACGTTGGACGAGTCCAAGGCAGACGTCTCCAGGAAGGAAAGGCCGTTCTTCTCTGGAAAACACAGAGAGGCGGCTTTAGGTTCTTTGCTCTGCATCACTTTGGTTCTGCTAGAACCACAGAGGCCGACTGAACAACAGGGCGGCCCAGTGGTTAAAGCGTAGAGCTTGGAACCCTGAGGATCTGAGTTCAAGCCCACCTGCCACTCTGGGTCCCTGAGCAAGACCCTTAACCCCACACTGCTCCCCAAGGGGAGGGGTTAGATGCAGAGAAGGAAGTTCTCCAGTGTGAGATCAATAAAGTTCAGTTATTATTAAATTATTATCTGCTGTGAAAAAATCTATGAGACATTTTCTCCTGTAGATCTGCAGATGTAATCTGATTACATTAGAAAGATTAGCTCTGGATTAAAAATGGTTGATGACTGTAGAAGGATCCCTCCTACATGTCAGACTGTTCTATCCAACTGTCAGATTCTACAAACCTCTACTAGAACCAAGCCCAGCTGTGGGGCCCAGTTCCCCTCCAGGGCCCATCAGGACGGTCCAATTAAAGCGGTACCAGAATCAACCCATTTGCTCCAACATACAGATTTATTTCCTCCACTGAATAAAAAGGTTCTGCTGTAAGATAAACTGTTCAAAGCTTTTCTAACCCTTGATGGTCCAACATCAAGTTCCCCCTAAACTAATCCCTAACGGATCAGATGCGTTCTGAACCAGGCTGCCAGGGAGTCACCTGGAGTTCCAGCAGGAACAGGAAAACCAGTTAGAGAAGCAACCTGAACCAGTACAGCCTGACGGCCAGCCTTGGTTCCACTTTCTGAATCCAAAAGTTCAGAACCTTTGGTTCTGTCTGGTCACTGGCAGCACTGAGAAGCCTCAACGGTACCATGACTGGATGAGCTGCGTCAGCCTCCCTATAAACAGCCCAGACTGACCCAGACACGGTTCTGCTGAATGTCAATCAGAACCATTAGACTATCGGATGCATCAGAACCAGAGCAGAGATCCAGAGAGCAGAATCACCAACGGGTGCTGCTTTGAACAAAACAGAAGAAAGAATCAGAACAGAGTTGAACATGGTTTCAGAGTCAGCAGGACCCCATGACCTGCTGGAACCAGCAGAACCGAGTAGAACGGGGCGGTACCTGCGAAGCCGCGGGCCTCCTCGGTGGGCACGGCCCTCAGGTGGCGCAGGTCGCTCTTGTTTCCCACCAGCATGATGACGATGTTGCTGTCAGCGTGGTCCTGCAGCTCCTTCAGCCAGCGCTCCGCGTTCTCGTAGGTCAAATGTTTGGCGATGTCATAGACCAGGAGGGCACCGACTGCCCCGCGGTAGTACCTGAACCACAGGGGAGGACGGGTCAGAACATTCTAATGGGTTTTTGTTCTGACCTGAACACGGTTCTGATGGAGCGATAATCAGATAGTTTAGTTGAACCGTCCATTCCACCTGCTCTTAGCAGCAATGATTTTATGGGATTCTTTATGATTGATTTTAATAAAAATAAGATCAATAGAACTCCTTTATCTGCGATTGGTTTGTCTCTGGAAGGGGGGGGGCGGGGGTGCAGCATCTGAGGTAGTCATGGAATCTGAACCGGGTTTAGACTGCTTTGATCCAGTTGAACTTTCAGAGTTAGCAAAATTATTGTCTTCATCTAAGCCTTCAATTTGGATGTTAGATCCAGTTCCAACCAGGTTATTTAAGGAGGTATTCCCTTTAACCAGGTTATTTAAGGAGGTATTCCCTTTGATCTCCTCCTCCATTTTAGGTGGCAAACAGATCTCTTGACCCAGATGACTTGGTCAATTATAGACCTATATCCAATCTTCCTTTCTGATCTAAAATTCTTGAGAAAGTAGTTGCCAAACAAGTTTGCGATCACTTCCACCATAATGAACTTTTTGAAGAGTTTCAGTCTGGCTTTAGAGCTCATCATAGCACTGAAACAGCTCTGGTGAAAGTCACTAATGATATTCTCCTGGCCTCAGATAATGGACTTGTATCTGTTCTCGTCCTGTTGGATCTTAGTGCTGCATTTGATCCAGTTGATCAGAATATTCTTTTAGAAAGACTTGAATATTTTGGTGGAATTAAATGAAACAGCTCTAGACTGGTTTAAATCGAGTTTTACCGATAGATTTGAGTTTGTTCACGTTCCTCATGCTCAAAGGTTACCTGTGGAGTACCACAGGGATCAGTGCTTGATAGTTTATTCTAATCCAGCTGGTTGCCAGAGTTTTACTCTTCGACCTATAGATGAAGGACTCACGCTGAGGTGATAGCTCTGTAGCGCTCCTGTCCAGCCGTGTCCCAGATCTGGGCCTTGATGGTCTTCCCCTCCACCTGGATGCTGCGCGTGGCGAACTCCACCCCAATGGTGCTCTTACTCTCCAGGTTGAACTCGTTGCGGGTGAAGCGGGACAGCAGGTTGCTCTTTCCGACCCCGGAGTCTCCGATCAGCACCACTGTAAAGACGAAGCGACATGACATAAGGACGTTTAACAGGAAACAGCCTTCTGGGCTTGAACATCTCTGACCCTCTCCCTGCTTTCAGTGACTGTAGAAAGCAGGAGGATCCAGAACCTTCACAGCTGATCCTATCAGCTCGATATTATCAACGGTTTAATCTGCAGGCTGATTTAATCCAATGTCTGACTTCAGGACAACGGATATCAGACATCATCATTTTTGGACTCTCTTCTTCTTCGATGTTGCTTTTTCTCCCTCCATTAAATGACAAACACACAAATATGAAACATACGCGTCTGGATTAAAACAGGAATAAAACCTTTATTAACAAACTAAACATGGATGATGAGGAGCAGAGCGAGAAAGCAGCAATTAATCCATCTGATTTCAGGGCTGTTCAACCAATAGGAATGACAGCACTGCTTTACATCCAATCAGAAACCAGCTGCTGAGGAACATTTGGCCCAGATGGATAAAAGTGCTACAGCTGCTTCCCTCGTCAAAAGTGGCATGAAAAGACTTCTGAAGGGCAGGGAAAAAAAGGGCACATAGTGCATCCTCACCACTGCATCCTCACCACTGTATCACTGTATCCTCGCCACTGCATCCTCACCACTGTATCACTGCATCCTCACCACTGCATCCTCACCACTGCATTCTCACCACTGTATCACTGTATCCTCACCACTGTTTCACTGCATCCTCACCACTGTATCACTGCATCCTCACCGCTGTATCCTCACCACTGCATCACTACATCCTCAACACTGCATCACTACATCCTCACCACTGCATCACTACATCCTCAACACTGCATCACTACATCCTCACCACTGTATCACTACATCCTCACCACTGCATCACTACATCCTCACCGCTGTATCACTACATCCTCACCGCTGTATCACTGCATCCTCACCGCTGTATCACTGCATCCTCACCACTGTATCACTGCATCCTCACCACTGTATCCTCACCACTGTATCACTGCATCCTCACCACTGTATCCTCACCGCTGTATCACTGTATCCTCACCACTGTATCACTGTATCCTCACCGCTGTATCACTGTATCCTCACCGCTGTATCACTGTATCCTCACCACTGTATCACTGTATCCTCACCGCTGTATCACTGTATCCTCACCGCTGTATCACTGTATCCTCACCGCTGTATCACTGTATCCTCACCGCTGTATCACTGTATCCTCACCGCTGTATCACTGCATCCTCACCACTGCATCCTCACCACTGTATCACTGCATCCTCACCACTGTATCACTGCATCCTCACCACTGCATCCTCACCACTGTATCACTGCATCCTCACCACTGCATCCTCACCACTGTATCCTCACCACTGTATCCTCACCACTGTAACACTGCATCCTCACCACTGTATCACCGTATCCTCACCACTGTATCACTGCATCCTCACCACTGTATCACTACATCCTCACAACTACATCCTCACCACTGTATCACTGCATCCTCACCACTGTATCACTGCATCCTCACCACTGCATCCTCACCACTGTATCACTGCATCCTCACCACTGCATCCTCACCACTGTATCCTCACCACTGTAACACTGCATCCTCACCACTGTATCACTGTATCCTCACCACTGTATCACTACATCCTCACCACTGTATCACTGCATCCTCACCACTGTATCACTGCATCCTCACCACTGCATCACTACATCCTCACCACTGTATCACTACATCCTCACCACTGTATCACTGCATCCTCATCACTGTATCACTGCATCCTCACCGCTGCATCCTCACCACTGTAACACTACATCCTCACCACTGTATCACTGCATCCTCACCACTGTATCACTGTATCCTCACCACTGCATCCTCACCACTGTATCACTACATCCTCAACACTGCATCACTGCATCCTCACCACTGTATCACTGCATCCTCACCACTGTATCACTACATCCTCACCACTGTATCACTACATCCTCACCACTGTATCACTGTATCCTCACCGCTGTATCACTGCATCCTCACTGCTGTATCACTGCATCCTCACCACTGTATCACTGCATCCTCACCACTGTATCACTGCATCCTCACCGCTGTATCCTCACCGCTGTATCACTACATCCTCAACACTGCATCACTGCATCCTCACCACTGTATCACTGCATCCTCACCACTGTAACCCTGCATCCTCACCACTGTAACCCTGCATCCTCACCACTAACCCTGCATCCTCACCACTGTATCACTGCATCCTCACCACTGTATCACTATATCCTCACCACTGTATCACTATATCCTCACCACTGTATCACTATATCCTCACCACTGTATCACTGCATCCTCACCACTGTATCACTGCATCCTCACCACTGTATCACTGCATCCTCACCGCTGTATCCTCACCACTGTATCACTACATCCTCAACACTGCATCACTGCATCCTCACCACTGTATCACTGCATCCTCACCGCTGTATCCTCACCGCTGTATCACTACATCCTCACCACTGTATCACTGTATCCTCACCACTGTATCACTGCATCCTCACTGCTGTATCACTGCATCCTCACCACTGTATCACTGCATCCTCACCACTGTATCACTGCATCCTCACCACTGTATCCTCACCACTGTATCACTGCATCCTCACCGCTGTATCCTCACCACTGTATCACTACATCCTCAACACTGCATCACTACATCCTCACCACTGCATCACTACATCCTCACCACTGCATCACTACATCCTCACCCCTGCATCACTACATCCTCAACACTGCATCACTACATCCTCACCACTGCATCACCACATCCTCAACACTGCATCACTACATCCTCACCACTGCATCACTACATCCTCACCACTGCATCACTACATCCTCACCACTGTATCCCTACATCCTCACCGCTGTATCACTGCATCCTCACCGCTGTATCACTGCATCCTCACCACTGTATCACTGCATCCTCACCACTGTATCACTGCATCCTCACCACTGTATCCTCACCGCTGTATCACTGTATCCTCACCACTGTATCACTGTATCCTCACCGCTGTATCACTGTATCCTCACCACTGTATCACTGTATCCTCACCGCTGTATCACTGCATCCTCACCGCTGTACCCTCACCGCTGTATCACTACATCCTCAACACTGCATCACTGCATCCTCACCACTGTATCACTGCATCCTCACCACTGTAACCCTGCATCCTCACCACTGTAACCCTGCATCCTCACCACTAACCCTGCATCCTCACCACTGTATCACTGCATCCTCACCACTGTATCACTATATCCTCACCACTGTATCACTATATCCTCACCACTGTATCACTATATCCTCACCACTGTATCACTGCATCCTCACCACTGTATCACTGCATCCTCACCACTGTATCACTGCATCCTCACCGCTGTATCCTCACCACTGTATCACTACATCCTCAACACTGCATCACTGCATCCTCACCACTGTATCACTGCATCCTCACCGCTGTATCACTACATCCTCACCGCTGTATCACTACATCCTCACCACTGTATCACTGTATCCTCACCAGTGTATCACTGCATCCTCACTGCTGTATCACTGCATCCTCACCACTGTATCACTGCATCCTCACCACTGTATCACTGCATCCTCACCACTGTATCCTCACCACTGTATCACTGCATCCTCACCGCTGTATCCTCACCACTGTATCACTACATCCTCAACACTGCATCACTACATCCTCACCACTGCATCACTACATCCTCACCACTGCATCACTACATCCTCACCACTGCATCACTACATCCTCACCACTGCATCACTACATCCTCACCACTGTATCACTACATCCTCACCACTGCATCACTACATCCTCAACACTGCATCACTACATCCTCACCACTGCATCACCACATCCTCAACACTGCATCACTACATCCTCACCACTGCATCACTACATCCTCACCACTGCATCACTACATCCTCACCGCTGTATCACTGCATCCTCACCGCTGTATCACTGCATCCTCACCACTGTATCACTGCATCCTCACCACTGTATCACTGCATCCTCACCACTGTATCCTCACCGCTGTATCACTGTATCCTCACCACTGTATCACTGTATCCTCACCGCTGTATCACTGTATCCTCACCGCTGTATCACTGTATCCTCACCGCTGTATCACTGTATCCTCACCACTGTATCACTGTATCCTCACCGCTGTATCACTGTATCCTCACCGCTGTATCACTGTATCCTCACCGCTGTATCACTGTATCCTCACCGCTGTATCACTGCATCCTCACCACTGTAGGCCACAAGTTTCACCAAATAGAGCAGAACCCCGTTCAATGGGAAAACAGGGTGAGGGGGCCCGCTTCAGTCACAATAACATATTATCACAATATTGCTGTGAGTGAACTGAGAGCTGCAGTGCTGGTGGCAGTGATGGGAACCAGAACAGAACCCTAACTGGGCTGGACAGATCCAGTGACAGTAGTTCACTAACGTGGGAAATTGTTGCAGCTGTGATTCGACGTTCAGCAATGACAGGATGAATCTGTGGTGAATGAGTGAATTAGTGACGGTCCAGCAGCTCTTCCATGGTGACGCTGCAGGCTGGGGGGGGGGGTAGATAAACGATCCAGCTGAGTCTGAATGCTGCTGGTTCTCCTGCTTCCTGCTCTTTTCTTTATTAACCATTTATTAACTTGCCCCGCCTACTTTCTACAAACTCTGGAAATTGTTGCCTGCCATAGTTAACCTGGTCAGCAGCAGGTTTCCATCAGTAAAGTCAGAGTCCTCCGTCTATCACGCTGCTTTATTTCCTGATTCAGTCTGGAGATTTTTCTCTCAGTTTTGTGCATAAAAAAAAAATCAGGTTTTAAAAACAAACATTTCATGTCCGTTAGACAAGGATCTTATTAAAGAATGATCGGCATTAATTAATTCACAGAGAATTAAACATTTATAAAGAGAGGATTCTACAACTCAGTGACAGGAGAGGAGATTTATTGGTCTTTGGTTTAGTTAATAAAATGACATTTTTAGTTATTAAGTTTTAGAGTACATGAAGAACTACATCAATTATTTTCAGATTACACATAAATAGATTCATTAATTCTGTGGGGAAAAATGAATGACTTTAGGATAAAGAATCACATGATGATACCTACCTACTGGTCCTACTGGTCCATCTGGAGCCAGTCTATGGGACTAATAGCCGCTAATAACAACCATTTATTGGGACGATAACATCCGAAACTCTGCAGCAAACAGCCACTGCTTTACTGTGAGGAAGAACCCATGAGATGATGAACAGGTTCCATAGATTAGAACATTTTTATTCTTCACCTGCTGACAGGTGATTTCACAAATAACAATTATAGAAATTGAATTAAATTTTATTGTCATTCCTCTGTCACAAGTTCAGAGCAACGAAATTCCCTCCCTGCATTTAACCCTTGGGGAGCAGCGGGCTGCCATTGTGCGGCGCCCGGGGAGCAGTGGGTTGCTCAGGGAGTAACAGGCTGTGGGAGTGGGAATCAATCTTGGTATAATTCCTGCTCTAAGTGCGTCACTCTGTCAGCTAAAGGCATGTTTTACAGCCTCTACTCCATTTAATAATTAATTGATTACAAAATTAGTTGATGATTATTTAATTAATTCAGTTTAGTTTATTTATATGGAGCCAATTCACAACACGTAATCTCCAGACACTTTACAGATTAATCCTATTAACCTTAGTCTGAACATGTTACCTGATGTCTGAAAAAACTTTTTTCCTTGTCAAAATTACCATTAGTAAAAAAAAAAGGCATTCTTCACATCTAGAATAAACTTTCTGGATGTCTAGAAATTAATTTCAGATCTACGTATTCCTATTGTTACCAGTCAGCATTTGTATTAGTTACTATGAAGAAATGTTTTCTCATCATAAATACATTTTCAGTCAAGCTGATAAATGTCAAAATAGAGACTTAAAATGTGGAAACATTTCTAGATAAATAAAGATTCATTCTTACTATAATTATGTTTTTTCTTTTTTACTTTCTGAAATTCTGCTGCATAAAAGTATTTTGAAAGTTTCTGCTGCAAAAAAGTAATTTAGAAAATATAAGAGTTCAGAGAAGAAGTGGAGAAACCAGAATGTTCTTAAGAGTTGAACTATTTGCCATATTTCTACTCAGGTAAAATTAACCTTTAAAGAAATTAGTCAAGTTAGTGTAAAACAGTAGATAGTAAAAAACGCTAATAGACTAAATTACTGATTAACTGATCTATCATCATAACAGCTGAGTTATAACAGCCAATAGTTGCAGGTAAAGTTACAGTAAACGGTTTACTGTATTTTCAATCAACAAATTGCTCAGCAGATGGAAAACAACATTTAACCAAAACGCTTTGAGTATAAAAATAAGTTTGTCTCTAAATGTTTAGTGAAGTTACTGACAGTAGATGGAGCCAGAAACTTTACCCAAGTTAGAGCACTGATTATATTTTAACATATTTTTATTAAAGTATAAATAACAATGATGTAAAATGTATCCTAAACAGGCATAAAACAAGTTCCAGTTAACTGTTGCTGTGATATTTCTTTTATTTTATAAATAGATGGACAGAAGACGACAGTTCCGCCTCCATGCAGGTGAAACAGTGGAGGAGAATGAAGGTCGGTTCTTAGACTCAACAAACTGTTCATCTTAGACTAGTTCAGCGTTTTAAACGGACTTAAATTAATAGTTTATTTTATTCATATTGCAAGTAAACACTGATTATATGAGAAACATTAAAACACGTATTGATGGGCACCACATTTAAAATACTGAATAAATAAATAAGGCGCTTTAGAAACAAAAGGGCCAGAAAGGAGAGGCTGAAGGTAGGAGGCTAATTAATACAGACTGTTTAGAACCAAAGGAAAGTCTGATCTGATCAGATGTTGCTGCATCAAAGCCTCACTGAGCCTTTTAAAGCCAGTAGTGACGGCGTCCAAACTGGGAACTTCCCAGTGACCAAGTGGACCAGCCAGTCAGTCCAACAAAGGGCCCACCGTCCTGCTGAGACGCCGATATTGGCCGTCCTCTATGTCTCTGCTGCTCACTGACTGCTGGACTAGAGGCGTTTGATCTGTGTCCACTGGGGAGACACCTGAGCACAGAGGACACACCTTCATTCTTTTTGGGTGGAGGACAAAAACCATCAACTCCTCCCAAGTCCAACGTCAGCAGATAGGTGCAGCTTCACTGCACATTCGTCCAATGCAGTGCACACCTGTCCACACACCCTCTGCAGAAATGTTCAACACTGACACTGAAATCCCAAATCCTCCGTAACCGCCCCATTCAAGACCACCTGCCCAAAGATACGCCTACCGCCTCAGCGGGTCCTCCCTTCTCGCTCCGCTTTGAGGTCCTTGGAAATCAAGGAGAGCAGGAGCGATATTATTATTTGTTCATTCATCGAAGCAAAACCTGAGATAATGAATGCTTTATTTCGCCTAATAAGCCATAAAAATTCACCATCAGCGAAGACGGAGGATGTAGAATATGGGACTAAAAGACACATAATGTCTGATACTGCACAGTTCAGAGGACAGGCCCCATGACAGGGACTACTCAGACCCTCTGACATCCCCCTCAGGGGTCTAACGTGGCCCGTCTGATGTCCCCCTCACGGGTCTAACGTGGCCCGTCTGATGTCCCCCTCACGGGTCTAACGTGGACCGTCTGACGTCCCCCTCAGGGGTCTAACCTGGCCCGTCTGACGTCCCCCTCAGGGGTCTAACGTGGCCTGTCTGACGTCCCCCTCAGGGGTCTAATGTGGCCCGTCTGACGTCCCCCTCACGGGTCTAACGTGGCCCGTCTGATGTCCCCCTCACGGGTCTAATGTGGCCCGTCTGATGTCCCCCTCACGGGTCTAACGTGGCCCGTCTGATGTCCCCCTCACGGGTCTAACGTGGCCCGTCTGACGTCCCCCTCACGGGTCTAACGTGGCCCGTCTGACGTCCCCCTCAGGGGTCTAACGTGGCCCGTCTGACGTCCCCCTCACGGGTCTAACGTGGCCCGTCTGACGTCCCCCTCAGGGGTCTAATGTGGCCCGTCTGACGTCCCCCTCACGGGTCTAACGTGGCCCGTCTGATGTCCCCCTCACGGGTCTAACGTGGCCCGTCTGACGTCCCCCTCACGGGTCTAACGTGGACCGTCTTACCTCTCAGGCCGTTGCAGCCTGGGCTGAGGCACCAAGAGACGTCTTTGTGACTCAGTTGCAGCTCAGCCAACCTGACCCACCCCAGTCTGCAGCTGCAGGACTGACTAAGGATTCCTGCCCTGCTGACAGATTCATATCAGTCACATGAGAAGCTCTGTGCTGAGTCTGACTGGATCCCTAACGTTGGGGGCGGAGCTTCTTTGTGGCTTCATGCAGGTATTTCCAGTTTGACAACACCAGCTGGTTTGAGGTCCTGAATGCAACAGACGCCCAAAGTGAATCACGTCCAACTGCTTCTACTAAACGATACGGATGGCGGCTCAGGTAGCCTCACCTCCACAGGCAACATCTAAGAAAGTTTTCTTTGAACATCAAAGTGAAGAAAAAGCCACTAGAACAAACAAACAAAGAAACAAACAATAACCTGCATCTTAGAAAACAGAAAACATTTATCAGCAGTAGATTAATAAAAAAACATAAACTTTGTTTCTTTTGATGTTCGAAGCTTTCCGGTGAAATCAGAAATGTCTTAAAGCAGAAACAAATGTTTGGACTTTATTTGAAATTCAAAACATTTCCGTCAGGAAACCTCTTTGAATATTACAAAGCTGCTTCTCCACTGACCAATAGGAGGTCCTCAGGTGAACAGGTCCTCAGGTGAACAGGTCACCAAATAAAACGATTAAATAAGCTTGTTGGTGATTAAAGGCATTCAGGCCAGGTGTGCCTGCCTGCTTCAGCTTTAAACCCTGATTCCAGAACCGGCTGCATCCCAGATGATTACGTCACCGAGCTTGAATCAAACGATGCTTACAGAGAAATAAAAAGACAAGAATCGCTGTTAATTGGCCGGTTCGGTTCGGTCCGGTCCGGTTCGGCCTCGGAGGCAGACCGAGCAGAGCTGCTTGGCCCTCTGATTGTCCACAGGTGGAAAAGCAGCGAGGAAACAGCCACTCACCTTTAAACAGGTAATCATATTCGTCCTCTTTGTGCGTCATTCTTTCTCTGCTTGAAGTCCAACAAACTTCAGTCCCTTAAAGCACCGATTCCGGATCAGGACTTCAGACTCGGTCTGTTTTAACTTAGTACCGTTAGAGTCCAAAGAAGGACCTGGAAGCCTGGAAAACTGATCAATAAAAAAACCACAAGACAACAAACTTCAGCGCCTTCTTCCTCTTCTTCCGACACTTGTCATGATCAGACCTGCGACGTAACGTCAACATCAAGCCCCGCCCCTTGCCCGCTCCTATTGGCCAATTGTTACTTCCGTGTTCTCACTTACCTTAACCTGATAGGTCGGCTAGGCTGTCGGTCCTGAGTCAGGTGCCGGGGTGCCAACTTGTATGACGTCGCGAAGCAACAGGTATGGTATGGCAAGTAAAGTTGTCATATAATAATGAGAAATTAAAATTAATTCATATTCTAGATGATTTTACTCCTTATATCAATGGTACATGACTTCCGTTTTTATTAAAAACGAACCTTGATACATCTAAAACTGCAAGAAAAGTAAAAAAAAAATTATAAAACCAAGAAACATTTAAAACACAAACAAAAAACACAAACAAGGAACAATATCTATTGGAATACAATGAAAAACAAATGGGAATCAATTTAATTTGGTTATACCACCAAACTTCACCTCTTGTCTCAGGTCTTTATAGACTATATAGATAATCTCTTATCTTTATACATCCAGATCAACCAGATCACCTTTAACCACTTTATAGATCCAGATCAACCAGATCATCTCGGGTGACCTGATAGATCCATTTGCATGTGTGCTAAGCCTAAACAAGGCTTTGTTTTTAGTCCACTCTATAAAGCCTGGAACTCAACACTATTTCTGACATTTTGAATTTTAAAGGCTTCTTGGATGGGAAATGTCTTTAAACCTGGAGAAAAAGTTCAATGGATTGTTTTATAACTATGACTATGCCTTGGATGACTGAGAATCTTCATTAGCATATATTCTCAGATCACATTACAGATCCCGATCAATCAGATCATCTCAGGTCACTCTATAGATCCAGATCAACCAGATAACATTTGGTCACTTTATAGATGCAGATAAAATAGATAATATCTGTTATCTTTATAGTCCATCTATCCATCCATTATATGACACGCTTGTCCTGAGTGGGGTGGCGAGGGGTGCTGGTGCCTCCAGCAATCGATGGGCGAGAGGCGGGGTCCACCCTGGACACGTCGCCTGTCCATCACAGGGTTAGGGAGTCATCAATTACAATTCCAAGGTATTTATATTTATGTTCCACCTCAGTGACATTCCTCTCCAGAGTGGAAACTGCTGGACGGGTTTGAGGCAACTTCCTATTAATCGAAAACAACATTAACTTTGTTTGGTCAGGATTAAGAAACAATTAAAGATTAATAAATGAATACTGTACTGAAACAAAGGCTTTCTGTAAGGAATGAATGGCCTGTTGAAGAGACGACCCAAAGCAATAAATAATGGTATCATCAGCATAAAAACGCATATTAGCATCAGGGAAATGTTGTTTAACATTGTTGATGTACAAGATAAATAAGAGGGGGCCCAAAACAGAACCTTGTGGAACACCCTTGTGTCACAAAAATGCAGAACAAAGCCCCTCACATGTTATACAGTGTGGATAAATGACAGTGAGTTTGTTGAAGCAGGTGGATGATGACATCAACTCCATCTCCACAGCGATAAGAAACTGCACATATGCTGGATGATGATGGGGATTTTTTTTATCGTTTCAAATTAAATGAATCTTTCATTTTATAATAATAATAATAATGTTGCGCATGCTCTCCTAGAGCTCCAAGGAAGTTGGAGCGGAGAAGGTGGGAGGAACAGTGGAGGATGTAGGCTTTACGCAGGCGGTCTAGCCGGGGGGGCCGGGGGCGGCAGAGCAGTGACGGAGGATGTGGGATCTCGGGGTACGGTTGTAGAGGTTCTGTAGAATCACACAGAGCTGCTCTGCTCAGGCCTTCAGGACTCTGACACCATCAGGACCTGCTGACTGATCACCACTCAGTCTCTCCAGTTGCCTCTTTACTGACTTCTAGAGACAGACCAGTGGAAGGTGGAGGGAGCAGCACCACCTGCTGATCTGGCTGATAATAAATTAATAGAAACAGGAGAGTGAATGTCAGAGGAGAGCAGGATGTCCATGTGATTGTGGGCAGGAGAGAAAGATGCTGAACTGAATGGAGAATGTTGAAGAATGGATTTAGTTCAGTGACTCTGTCCAGATTTCCATCTGTCTGATCATCCTTCTGCTTCAAGCTTCTTCATCTCTGACCACATATCACTGATATCAGTGCTAGGACCAATTCTCTTTACTTTATACATGCTCCCAATCGGTAGAGTTATTAGACAGCATGGGATTAATTTCCACTGTTATGCTGATGATACCCAGCTATATCTGTCTATAATCCAGATGAAGCTAACCCATTACATAGATTACAGGCATGTCTGAAGACAGAAAAACCTGGATGACTCTTAACTTTCTGCTTCTGAATGCAGACAAAACAGAAGTTATAGTCTTTGGACCAGAGTCTCTGAAAAAGAAGCTGATTAGCCAGTCACTTCATTTGGATGGGATTAAACTGATTTCAGATAATAAAGTAAAAAAATCTTGGTGTTATTTTTGATCAGGACCTGTCATTTAAATCCCAGATCAAAGAGGTTTCTAGAATTTCCTTCTTTCATCTGAGGAATATTGCAAAAATGAGCAATCTCCTGTCCAGGGGTGATGCTGAGAAACTAGTCCATGCATTTGTTACTTCAAGGCTGGACTATTGTAATTCTTTACTATCAGGAAGTCCACAAACTGTAGTTAAAAGCCTTCAGCTGATCCAAAATGCTGCAGCCAGAGTTCTAATGAAAATGAAAAAGAGAGATCATATCTCTCCTATCCTGGCTTCTCTTCATTGGCTTCCTGTTAAATCCAGAATAGAATTTAAAATCCTCCTTCTCACATATAAAGCCTTAAATGGCCAAGCTCCATCTTATATCAGAGATCTGATTGTTCCTTATGTTCCTAACAGAGCACTTCGCTCTCAATCTGCAGGTTTACTAGTGGTTCCTAGAATTTCTAAAAGTAGAATGGGAGGCAGATCTTTTAGTTCTCAGGCTCCTCTCCTGTGGAACCAACTACCAGTTTTAGTCCGTGAGGCAGACACCCTGTCTACTTTTAAGGCTAGGCTTAAAACTTTCCTTTTTGATAAAGCTTCTAGTTAGAGTGGCTCAGGTTATCCTGAGCTATCTCTATAGTTCTGCTGCTATAGGCTTAGACTGCTGGAGGACATAGGGACCCCTTTTTCATCATTCTGCTTCATTCTATCTCTATTCTCCCACTCTGCAGAATCTGTTAGTTCAATCTCTAACGTTCTGCTCTCTCTGCTTTTTCTCATAGTAGCTTCATCTGGTCTGTTCCTGTTTGGCTGTGACTCCATCCTGGAGAGAAATATCAGCTGTGCTGCTGCCATCAACACCTTTGTTTCTAGATGCTGGAGGTCAGATGGAAGCGGCGCTGCCTGATGTTTAACCACAGACTAACGTTGCTGCCACCAGAGCTGTTCACTCATTATCACCTTCCGGGTGTTTATCTGCTCACCATTGTGCACATTGCTTGCACTGAGAAGCCCACTCTGGTGATTGGCAGCTCCATAGTCAGAAACGTGGCATTAGAGACACCAGGGACCATAGTCAAATGTTTGCCGGGGGCCAGAACGGGCGACATCAAATCCTACCTGAAACTACTGGCTAAGGATAAGGTTAAATACAGTAAGATTGTTATTCACGCTGGTGGTAATGACACCCGGTTACGCCGATCGGAGGTCACTAAAATTAGTGTTGCTTCGGTGTGTAAGTTTGCCAAAAAAATGTCGGACTCCGTAATTTTCTCTGGTCCCCTCCCTGATCTGACCAGTGATGACATGTTTAGCCGCATGTCGTCATTCAACCGCTGGTTGTCTAGGTGGTGCCCTGAAAACAACGTGGGCTACATTAATAATTGGCAATCCTTTTGGGGAAAGCCTGGTCTGATTCGGAGAGACGGCATCCATCCCACTTTGGATGGTGCAGCTCTTCTTTCTAGGAATCTGGCCACATTTATTAGTCCTCCAAAACCCTGACCACCCAGGGTGCAGACCAGGAAGCAGAGTTGCAGTTTAACACACATCTCTGCAGCTTCTCTACTGTTACCCACTCTTTACTCCATCCAGACAGTGTCTTGCCCACGACCAAAATCTAATAAATTAGCAAAGATTCCCAAAGGAGTAAATCATTATAATCTCATTAAAATCAAAATAACTCCAATTGGGGAAAAAGTTAAAACAATTAAATGCGGTCTGTTTAACATAAGATCGCTTTCCTCTAAAAGTCTACTAGTTAATGACTTGATTTGTGATAATCACATTGACTTGTTTTGCCTTACAGAAACCTGGCTGCAGCAAGAGGATTATGTGAGCATAAATGAGGCAACTCCTTCAAGCTATTTAAATTTTCACATCCCCAGAAGTTCTGGGCGAGGAGGAGGAGTAGCAACAATCTTCCAGTCTGACTTACTGATTACTCCCAAAACAATTAATACCTACAACTCTTTTGAACATTTGACCCTTAATTTCCCTGATCCAAATTTCAAGGCAAGAAAACCTCTTCTTTTTGTAACTTTGTATCGTCCACCAGGTCCTTACTCTGAATTTTTAGATGAGTTTTCAGAGTTCCTTTCTGATTTGGTATTAAATACTGACAGGGTCATCATAGTGGGAGATTTTAACATCCATGCTGACATTGAAGGCGATAGCTTAAGAGCAGCCTTTAATGCTATCTTAGACACTATTGGCTTTGTTCAAAATGTGAATAGTCCCACACATTCTCATCTTCATACTTTGGATCTTGTGCTGACATACGGCATAGAATGTGAAGAAATAACAGTATTTCCTCACAACCCTGTCCTCTCTGACCACTTTCTAATAACCTTCAGGATTACTTTAACAGAGTTCTCCTCCCCCAAAAGAAGGTTAAATTTTAGTAGATCTTTATCAGATAGTGCAGTTATAAATTTTAAAGAATCTGCTTCACTTTCTCTCTGCTCTGTGTCACTGAGCAGTGCTGCAGAGTGCAAAAGCTTAGCTTATTCCCCTTCACAGGTTGATGATTTTGTTGAGGGGGTTGCTAGTTCTCTGCATATTGCCTTAGACAACGCAGCTCCTTTGAAAAT